AAAGAAAATTGTTGAACATAGTTATTTTCTTAAATGCGTATATTCTTTACTAATTTAACATTGGATTGAATATTCTGCAGATGTGCTACAGATTGCAGTAGTACAAGATGTCACTACTAGAGAATAGGATTAAAATGTTCTTCCTTAAAAAAGAGTAGTCAGGATTGAAACTGTATGAACAGAGTTTCTAATACAATGAATGAGGATGATGAAAAAGAAAACTTGAACCCCCTCCAGGCTGAATACTGAATACTGAATCCTGAAGCCCCTCCTCCCTCCCCTCCCCCAAAATGGAAAAATAATCATTGCAATCATTAGTCTATATTGGTTCATACTTGTGATCCAAGCTAAATACTTAAACAAAAACAATTTATTATCTTTTTAAATTATAAAGCCCACAGCTACTAACTTTGAGCATGTATCAAGAAACAAATATAAAGAAATTAATCTCTAAAAGACTTTACTGTACCCGCATTTACGATTCTTTTTTTTTTTTTTGCCTTCTAGAATAACTTAACATCATTTTATATAGGTAGTTTTTTCTTTTTATTTAAGAGCAATTACCGTAATAAAAAAAAAATCTGATGCGCACAACACACAACTTTCACTTACCACTCAACTTTGAATAGAAATTATTTTCTGGCCATCTTGGGCTAGTATAAAATTTTTGGATTGCATTTTTAACTGAGCTAAATCTAAAAAATGCAGCTAATAAATCACAAACACCATTAAAATAAAACTTATATTTATTATTTCATCGGTTGATTATATATTGTATGATCCTTTGATTATGGACTGCACGATACCTTGATTATGGATTGTATCACTATTAGTTATTAAACTGTTATTTTCCATTGCAAAGTTTACTAAAACGGAATTAAGAGATCTGTAATGTATGTCATAGACAGGTCAAACATTGTCACACTAATTGTAAGTGGATACTGTTAGAATATCATAAAAGGAAATTACATCAAACTATTCACTAATTTAATTTTCTAAAAGGTTGCATGATGATTTTTCGGAATAAACGGACGATAGATACCTCAATGTTTAAATAAGAGTCCGTCCTTTACTTAAAAATCCTAACCCTTCTTTCCCTGAAGATTACCGTCCAATCTCAATCCTGTCTAACCTTGCAAAACCTCTAGAACGAATAGTCCAATCCCAAATTTCCAACTTCCTAGAACAGTCCAATCATCTTGACCCTTACCAGTCTGGTTTTCGACCAGGCTACTCTACACAATTCGCCCTAATCAAAATCGTTAGTGATGTTCAGTCAGCCATAGATGATAAAAAACTAACGGTCCTTATCCTCCTGGACTTTTCCAAAGCCTTTGATACCATTAACCATTCCATCCTTTTCTCCAAATTGAAATCGTTATCCTTTTCCAACAGCTCTATCCTTTGGTTTCAATCATTCCTCTCTCAACGTATCCAAGCAGTCTCTATCCCGAACCAACCTTTATCATCCTATCTAACTCTGTCCTCAGGAGTGGCACAGGGCTCCAGCATATCTCCTCTCCTTTTTAGTTCATATATTAACGACCTTCATAAATCAATCCTTCACTGTTCACATCACCTTTATGCCGATGATTCCCAAATTTACCTCTCCTTTGCTCCCTCTGAATGGCATGATGCGTTTGCCAAAATACAAGAAGACCTAAATCGGATTTGTGCCTGGGCAAGTGAAAATGGATTAAGGTTAAACGCTGCTAAAACCCAAGCCATTGTCCTCGGTTCCAAACCCCTTCTCAGATCAAATACCAACATTCCTCTCCTGTACCTGAATGACCAACCCATCACTTTCAACACTTCAGTTAAAAACTTAGGTGTTATCATAGATCAAACCCTCTCCTGGAATCACCATATTTCCCTCATATCCCGACGTTCATATGGACGGAAGATCCATCTAATTATTCACTAATTTAATTTTCTAAAAGGTTACATGACAATATTTCGGAATAAACGGACGTTGATACCTAATTATTTAAATATAATATCAGCTCTAGAATTATAAAACTACAATAAATGTATTTAAGGTTATAAACATATGCTTTATACATCCATGAAATGATTTTATATTTTACTTCTTCTTTCACACAAGTACAATGAACTAGTTTTTGAAACAATGTCATTGCCTTGATTAGGTAGATTTTAAATATCTTTTTCAAACTAAAAAAAATTTTAAAAGGTTACATTTAGTTAGTAAATTTTATTTAATTTCCTTAAAAACATGTGATTTACGTTAAATATTATTAGTTTTCAAAAATATGCCTGGGAACATGGTACTTCCGACCACCAGGCCGTGAGTATTCGCAAAGTCAATCACTCTTCGGCCATTAGCATTTGTGTTCTGATGAAGACTGAAGGTTCCAATTGATGGTAGGTGTATTCTTTCCGTACCTATTTGGGCGTTCAAGTCTCTTAGAACTATTTTAGCATCACATGCTAGACAAAGCTTGAGGACGTTAGTGAGGTCTTCGTAGGCATCCTATACCTGGTTCCCGGACTGGGCTCCAGAAGAGATAGGTGGTATTTTCATGATGGAAAAGCCACGTAACGTCAACGACTTCAAATATAAAATACCCCCAAAATTTGACTGTTCAAAGTCTGTTTAAGAATTAATAAAAATATTATTTCTTAAGATTATCTGAATATGACAATATTCTTTATTATATTTGTAAATACAAGATCATTTATTTTGTAACAAAAGCGGCATAAAAAAAAAATTAAAAGTTCCTCTTTTTTTTTTAAACTCTCGTATGATTCCCGGTTCTTGAAATTCTCAGACAATTACCAATTTTCTCGGTCGCAGGACGCCCTGTTAATTTAATGTCCATCAGCAATCCCAGGTTGTATTATGAAACCTCGGGGATAAATATTTTAATACAATTAAATCAATGATCTGTTATAAAATAAAGATGAAGATTTGTATTTTCCATTATTAAAACTGATGTTTCTTTTTTTAAAGAAATCATGCTATGCCATCCTACTCTGTTACCATTTATACATGATAAAATGATAGATCAGTTTTCTACATCCCTTTCCACCGAACGTAGAACTTTTTTCTTTAAAAATATTTTGTTTTTCTATTTTCTGCTTCTTTAAACATTCAACCTTTGTTTAGGCATACATATGATAGAATCAAAGTTTGTATACCAACTAAAGATCAGTATTTTTATGCTATAATAATAGCAGTCCTTAAAAATAGGGCGACAAAATCAAAACATGAATAAAAGTTTTAAAACTGTTTACTATAATTCATTTAAAATTTATAATGTATAAGTAACGAAATGTTCCGAAGAAATGTAAACTGGTGCCAGTCCACTAACAATTAGTTACAGTTAATAATCAAGAATATTTATTGTAAAAAATTATAATTAAAACCATAAATAAAAGGTAATTATGTATGGGATAAATAATGCTATAAGAAGTTTAAATAAACCAATTTATTAATTAAATAAATAAATCAGTTTCAATTATCACAGACATTTTTTATATACACATTTATAATATTTGAAATATAGTCAGGAAAAAATATATTATGGGTTTATTTTAAAAAAAAAGTCACAAAGTACACTTCTGATGAAGCTAAACTTTCAAGTACATATTTGTGAATTACGATCATATTTATTAATGCAAAAACTCATTAAGTGCGTCAAAATAACACGCATTCTACTGTATTTCAAAAATAATTAGATTATGTGAAGGTTTTCACAAAGGAAAAATTCATCTAAGTATTTAGTGATTCTATTTTTACTCAATGACTGTTTGTAATAAATCGACAATATACAGAATTCATCAGTAGAAATAAATTTAAAACAAAACAAACTTTTAATAATATACTTGAAAACATAAATATTTACTTTTACAAACAACCAAGAAGACTTATTAACCATATTTTAGAAGTATGCATTATGTTTGCATCTAAAACAATGATTAAATTTCTCAATGCTGAATGCTCATAAAAGAGAAGAAAAGAATATGAATATTTGAAAATTTCAAATAAATATTCAGGACGCAGTCATTATAAAGTTTTTATTTATGCCGTTTCAACCCAAACATGTGGTTCATCTACAGGGCGTGGTTCGAGCACTGAAGGAATTCAAGCACTGAATCAGTGCTTGTCAGTAAATTATAAAAACTTTATAATGACTGCGTCCTGAATATTTATCACACATAATATGTAGAACAGTCGACTAACTTCCTTCACTAATTCATTAAATAAATACAAACAAATAATTAGAGACAAAAATAATTTATGTAGACTGATCTGGGCATTATTGTTTGGAAAAATTTCCTTCATCTATATTTGAGCAAAAGAAATGAAGAAATAATTAAATTTTATGAAGAATTACAAAAATCAGTTAGGCTTATGCCCTTTTGACATCTTTTCTAAATATATATTTTTTTTTTATCGTACCTGAACTGAATTAATTTATCTCTCATATTAATTTGCTCCTGTTGTCAATTTTTTTATATTTAAGTCAAGTGAATAACATTCCTAAGGTTTAAGAAATAAATTTAAAGTTAAAATTTTAATGTATTTTTCTTATAAATTTATAAAAAATCTTTTATGATTCCAATATCTCTATTATATCAAACTCATTATATTTGTATCAAATTCAGTTCAATAGGATTGAAGAAAAAATCAATCACACCCAAAAAAGTAAAAAAATATCCTGTTTTGGAAAAAATTAACCAGTGAGAAGACAAGAAAAACAAAAACAAACAAACAAAGTATACCATTTATCTATGATAAAAAATATTCAGAAATTCAAGATCAATCTTTTAAAAATCAGGATACCATTACAGAATTGCTTGTACTTTAACTGCTACATAGCAATGAAGTTACATTATGAATGGTTCAGTGGTTTAAAACAGCTGGTTTATAAACACAGAAAATAATGATAATGACAATGATGGCAGAAACACATTTTATTAAAAGTATTTATATGACTCTTGGACTCAAAAACATTAATAATAAGTTCACAAAAATGATGGCAATATATTTGAAGATTGGAAATCGTGAACAATGTAAGTATAATTTATGAATTAAAATCATTTTTATACATTAAATATTAATCATTTTTAAAACTGACTGAAAATTATACAAATTTCGAATTCATATACACAAACGTATCCAAGGAAAGAAACAATATAGGATATGCTGTAACAAATAAGAAGAATCAACTACAATTTAAACTGCTAGGCGAATGCTCCATTTTTACAGGAGAGGCGACTGCCATCATGAACAGTTTTTATTTTATAAGAGATTCTAGAAAAACGTGCTGGGTTGTTGTAACTGATTCATGGAGTGTCTTAGCCGCCATCGACAACCCATCTCCAAGTAATTCTATTATTAAAGAAATAATAAATGTAAGGTGGGAAATAAAAAACAAAGGCATGAATAGTATTTGTTTGGGTACCAGCCCGCTGCGGCATTGCCGGAAATGAAAAAGCTGACCAAGCAGCCCATTTAGCAAGAAGTGAAGAACAATCGGCGGAGATAAGATTAAAGATAGTTAGTTACCTTAGAAAACTGGCTACCCCACGCAAAAAAAAAAAACTTCTAACAGAATGGCAAAAACAATATGAAAGGAAAGAATGCAAAATGATAGAAGTAAAACCTAATCCGACAAATGGCTCGCAAGCTACAGGAGTTCAAGGAGAGAAGAAGTTATGGTTTGCCGACCAAGGATAGGACACTGCCAGTTTACACATGGCTACCTTATGAGAGGATTCGAAGCGTCCACGTGTGAAAAATGTAATAATGTTCCACAAATAGTGAAACACTTACTGGAAGAACGTCCTCAATTTGAAAATTACAGACAAAGAACAGACTTAGCCAAAACATTAAGAGAAATCCTTCAAGATAATGAAGAAAGAATCAATAATTTGTATGAATTTTTAAAGTTAATAAAGTATTATAAAAGAATAAATCGTAGTAAAACATCAATGACCCTTGAGGATAGAGGTGCAAAAGAAAGAAAAAAAAATGTTTATGAATTTTCATAAAAACAATGCTATGCCATCATTATTATATAAATGGTTAATAGATAACACAAAATTTACATTCTGAAATTAAATATAAGATATATAAACACCACGATTCACATAGAACATTTAAAGTCTTATTAAACTCACTCTAATACAAATCTATTCCATAATTTTCAATCTATACAACAAATCTATTTCTTTCATAATATATAAATAGGTACAAAAACGTAATTCTTCATTACAAAAAAGAAGAAACAAAGCTCATACTATAAGGCATTTGTTGTTTTAAGAAATAACAATATGTCACGACTCTTTACAAAGATCCTGTATCAAATGGCCCTTCAAGTTTATCGATTGACCATCCGAATGGCACTTCTTAATATGCTTAATCAGCTTATCTTTCCTGCAATAGGAAGAAGCACAGAGACTGCACTGGTAAGGCTTGAAAAGGGAATGTGTCATGAGATGTCTACGCAGTTCATGCTTTGAAGACAAAGTTTTGAAGCATATGTCACATTGAGGTTGAGACACAAGTACAGGTTGGTCACACTTTGATTTAGTTATATGAGTGCGCATGTGCCGTTTCAGTTTGTCAGATCTGGCAAACGACTTTCCACATGTTGTACATTGGTGAGGCCTTAATCCAGTATGAATCGCGGAATGCCTCATTAATTCTCGCCTTTGCCGAAAACCTTTATGGCATACCTCACAAATAAACGACCTTCCCTAAAATGAAAAATGTTAATTAGACCTTTAATAATGTACAAAAGGATTACATAAAACTATAAAAAAAGGAGAAATAATCAGTTTTGGGCTTCACAATTATCTATAGGATTTCATCAGTAAAATTCATAATTTTTTCAACCAATTTCATTTTTTCACAAAAATTTTTAATTGTTTCAATTTTTTCAACTGAACTCATAATTTTCTCATCTGATTTCATAATTTTATCAAATTCATATTTTTTTTAAACCAATTTAATGCACTTAATTCAGTCTCAGTTATTTCTTGAAAGATATAAGCTGTTTTATTTAATCAGCTCCTCAATTGCAGCAAGCGTTTCGGATGTCAAGCTTGTAAGCTGGGTACCACCTCTTTTTTTTTATACACAACTCTACAGTCATTTCATTTGTATTTTTTATAAACAGAGTATGCTTTTGAGCTTTCTAGACAGATTGTACTGCAGCATCCTTGACTGTGAGATCTTCTCATTCAATTAATCTGATGAATAACTATTTTTGTGATAGTGAATTAACAGAATATTTAGTTCTTCTTTCTTGCTTGAATCTTATGAACATGCAGATCAAGGCTCACTTACACTCACAACCAAATTCCGGAATCTATGTCTTCCTCTGTTCACAGATTCCTGCGAAGATGAACTACTACCACTCATGTTTGACAACTAAGGTGTGCCGTAACAAGACAGGCAAATAACTGAGACTGTGATGTTCTGCATAGAAAACTTAATAAGTAAACAGAGGTAATTCTCTAATTCTCTCAATCTAATCACCTTTGCATTCAACATGAATTCTCGATAATGATACCTCATTAAATTAAGTTTATTAAATTGGTTGAAAAAATTATGAAGTTAGTTGAAAAGATTATGAAATTGGTTGAAAAAATTTCACTGAAAAAAGCTATAAATAGCTCATTATTAACCACTATCTAAATTTAATTATCATCTACTTGAAAATTGCAAAATCTTCAAAACATAGCCAAATAAAAGTTCTTTAACACAGACTAATCATTTACTACCTCCTTAAGCCTATAATAAACCATATATAACTAAGCTAGAGACATGCTAGAATTCATACTGAGATACTAACCCATAGATATTAGAAATAGATATTAATTCTAATATATAAAAAAGACAATTTAGAAGGCACAAATGGGGTGGACCACAAGGTGCCTTAAAGAAATCAAATGGTACATGGACCTCCAGCTCTAAGGACATAGTTCCATATTCCACGTTTCTCAGGTTTTTTTTTTTTTTTTTTCCTCCCCTTCCTTGCCTCTAAGGCTATACAGGGATTTTCCCGGGCCTGGGAGTGTGGGCGGGGATTTAAAAACTCTTCCGGGCACCGGGACGCGAACTCGTGACAATTTTTTTATCAAAGTGTTATGTATCAGGTTGCCGGGCAACGGCGGTGCAGTGCACACGCGTTAGCCCATTCGGCCACCCCGCCCACTACGTTTCTCAGGTGTTTTTTTGTTCTTCTCTACCGTTTAGGCTATACAGGATTTCCCCGGGACGGAGGGTGAGGGCGGGAATTTAAAATCCCCTCCAGCACCGGGACGCGAACTCGTACTTATTTTTATCTCTCAAAACATCATATATTTGGTTGCCGGGCAACTCGCGGTGCTGTGCACACGCTTTAGCCCATTCGGCCACCCCGCCCTCACGTTTCTCAGGTTGTAAGACAATTAATTTAGGCAACCCTCAAAACATAGACTCTGGTATAGAGACTTATACCAGTAAAGAAAATTGGATGTCAGAGTCCATCATCATTAATGGCGTCATTAGGTGGGCTAGGGAGAAGCTCCAAGCCACACAAGGTCCCAGGCATCGTTCCATTTATGCTTCCATATTATAACTGGAAACACAATGGCAGATGGTAATGTCAAGTTCTGAGGAACATCTTAAGGTGACCATTTCATCTTAAGATGATCCATTTGGTGCCACATCAGAAAATAATTGGACCCGAAGTCATGGAGAAAAGATGTGAATGGATATTTTCATAAAACAATATAAGATTTATAAACATAAAGCCTGTAGACAAAGACTTCAACCATTCAAATTAATAATATTAATATTTATCACAAGCTCGTTAGTGGATTTCTAAAAAAAATGTAAATATAGCCTTACACGTTTTAACTATTAGTGAATTTATATAGAGTAACTACAATAGATTTTATGACAAATTACACAACCAAACAACATTTGTAGAAAGAATGGCCAACAGGTATGCCCGATGCCAAAAAAAGAGCCTGAAAAGGACAAGAATGAAATCGAAAGACATTTTTGAGAGAGGCAAATTAAATATATTTTAAAGATATGACAACAGCAATATAAATATAATGAACACTGACATAAAAAAAAGAAACAAAAAAATAACGCTGGGCTATACTAAGATAACCTGTACAAATATATCTGTTTTTGTTCAGTTAAACTCTCTTACAAGATGTCTCTTCCACTCTTTCAACTGCCAAAACTCTAGCTACCCGACAATTAAAATTTTCCTGAAAATTATCCATATTATTATATCATTCATTAATACTGTCAGAGTAAACCACCTAGGACTGGATGATAATATTTTACAGGATACTGATAAAGAACTAATACCAGTGATTAAAATAAAGATATAAACTGTTATGCAAATTACTCAGACAATAATCAAAACCAAAATTAAGGCAGAAACCTGTTATATACTCATTGTTACTAAACACAGTTTAGACTTATACCTAAACTCCTGAAAAATTTTCAAGGCTCCATAAGAAATGAATATACAAAGACTTTAATATTCGAATGAAAACTACAGTAATTTAGCACACAAGCTCCTTGCTTGATTTCTAAAACAACTGTAAATATAGACTTACTCATGCCATCTATCAGTGAATGTATATGTATATGGACACAAGATTTTATGACAAATTACACAAACGTAACAACCCACTTGTATGAATTAAAGCTGAATGCAGATAAAACCAACGCTATTATCATAAGGTCCATACATCTCATTAGCTCCCTTCCTTACTTTCCTCTATTTAACCTCAATAACCGTCCCATCCATTTTTTCCCTACTGCCAAAAACCTAGGACCAGTAACCTTTGACCAGAACGTCTCCTGGAATAATCTTATCTCCCAGATTACCCGAAAATCCATAACTACCCTTAAACAACTCCTAAGATTCCGTGATTGTATTCCTCTAAAACCCAGACAGCTCCTTGTAATCTCCTTTGTATTCCCCCACTTCGACTACGGCTGTTTGGTGTATGGACGGCTATCTGCCTGGCTGGAAATGAGATTAAAGAGACTTCATGAATTGTTTCATAAGATACATTTTCAGGATCCCCAGGTGTTCACATGTTTCACTCTGGTACACCGAGTTGAAGTGGCTTTATCCTACTTCCTGACGAAAATTCCTCCTAAGTGTTTTCCTTTTCCAAATCTTCAGAACCAAAAACCCTCCCTACATCCTGGAACTCCTTACTCTACGCTCATCTATCCACTCTCTCAATACTAGGTCTCAACCTATAGACTTATATATTCCCTCCCATAAAACTTCCTCCTTCAGCAAATCCTTCGTCATTCGTGTTGCTTCCTTATGGAACTCACTTCCTAACTCCATGCGTCAATCCTCTTCCACAAATTCCTTCAAACAACTCCTGTTCCAACACCTACTCCACATTCAAACTTCCCCTAACATGTAAAGTTACTTGCATCTGTACAATGTTTAATTTCAATCTATTGCACAATTGAAATAACAATTAACAGTAAATTAGTGTGTATTTTGATTATGTCAGACTAAGACCCATAAATTTGTAACTCTGTTATTATTCTTAGGGGACAGTAGTCCCAGAATAAAATTTATTTTTTCTTTCTTGTAAAAATAATGGCCACCAGACATGTCTGATAGTAATATTCCTGTAATTTTTTTTATGAATGATAGAAATAGCCTTGTGTGTTTCTTTCTGGTTCCTGAAATATTATTTCTTAAACATAAACATAAATTCATAAAGCTTTAATTTACAAAAAAAGAATTAAGTAATTTTTTTCTAAAATGCATTAATTCATATTTGATTTAACCAATTTAGCAAGAAATACTTTAAACCTTCATTATCAAATACAAAATAGGTTGAAGAAAAAAAAAAGTTTTAAAAATTGGAAAATGAGGTTGGCTCATTTTGTAATTCTATATCTCAATCATCCTAAAACATATTTTTATATTAATACTTTGAATCCTTTGAATGATCAAGAATATTGTTCATCATTAGAAGTTACCTCGGCAGAGTCAAGTAAAGATGAAACTGTGTTAGAAGAGGCATCAACGACTTTTTTATCTTTAGTCTTGCTTAGATTGATTGGTCTTACAGTATTTTCTACTTTTTTAATCTCCAATCCATTTTCATCACTCCAGTTTGTAGGGTCGACACTTATCACCATTGCTTCAGATTCTTGTGGTTCATCAGAATCGATTGTATCACTATTTTCTGTCTAGAACATTACAATAAATTAAATTGGTTTAATAAATATCTATATTAGAATAAATTCATTATTAAACTAAGATGTCTTTAGATAAATGAATGTTAACCAACTGCTACTTTTAAAAAGGAAATAGTTCAGAAAATTTTTAAAAATAAACCTCTACTACAACCCACAAGAACAAAATAGTATTTGGATTCAATAACTAAATATCATTTCTTGACCAATGATTATGTAAGAAATAAACAAACAAATATAAAACCAAATTCACTCAGTAAAGTGGTAATTTTTGTTTGGTAGAAAAAAAGAACAGTTTTTAGAGTTCTGAATTGGACACATGTATGGACTAAGAATATGTTTTTCATATTTTATGCACAGGAAAACTCTATTTAGCTTACAGGCATCAAGGGATCAAACATACAAAACAAAAAATAAAGAAACAAAATCAGTCCAACCATTTGAGAGACAATATAGCAAAGACAAACCAATGGCTTCAAATATGTTTTTTCGACTCGTAGAGCTCTGAAGTGTAAATCTGTTCAAAAGGGCACATTGAAATTTTAATCCAATAAAAATACTTTCCTCATAAATTCACTGTAAAGGGCTATAAATGTTAAGTTTATAGTGTGTGCAGACTGCACATTTATTATTGCATGTATATTGTGAAGTTATCAAATGTAATTATATTTCTACAACAACAAAGTCTCCAGTAAGGATGCAATTTAAAATTATGATGTAGAGATGGTTGACCATTGATATAATATGAGAAGGAGTTGATCGGGGGGTGCGGTCAAATTGTAGGGCCAATGCGGTCAAATAACACTGCGGGAGGCAGTTGAAACACTGACAATCTAGCAAAGGCAATTTATATCCTCTACTAATTTATATCCTCCCCTCTTCAGTGTTTCAACTGCCTCCCGCAGTGCTACATCCTACGCCCTGATGAAAACGAAGAGGGTCGAAACGTCGGCAAAAATTAAATAATTTTCTTATTTAATTTAATATTAATTTGACCGCACCCCCCGATCAACTCCTTCTCAATTTAAAAATATAATTTAAATTGTCAATTATTTGTGACAATAATTAATAAACTGTTGTAGTTATTTGTCAATACTTCCTGAAAAACGTAAGCATGTATAAGTATATATACACTTTTTTTTTCTATTCACAAAATAAACCAACTCAGGACCACAATGCCACATATTGGATAACTTGTTTCCTAAATTCAACCCTACCCCAACAATCCTCGCTTCTTATCCCCAATAATGCTATTTCATTATTAATCTGTTCCAAATAGCACTTTATATTCTTGAGATCCTCAAGAAACCGATTATTCCTCATTCTGTAACCCTCCCACTATTTTCTTCAATCCATATATATTTTGCAAGATTTTCCTTTCCTTTTCAATAATATCTCCATATTAGTGAATCCTATTGTTTCAATCCAAGGAAAGATAATTAATTCACTAGTACGTTCATTCAATCTTCACCTTAATGAAAATTTTCTAAAAGTGGAGTTCTTGTCTCAACTTCCAAATGATAGCTCTGAGGATGACCCTCATGTTTGGATCGAAACATTGGCTAACCCAATAAAAATATCGAATGATATTCCTGACAATTTTTTTTCATCCTTATAATTGATCAGTTGACTAATTACCCATCTCTAAAATATTCTCAAATTACATATTTGCCCTTATGAAAGTAAGCTAATAATTTAAACTACCAAATAAACAATTCATCAAGTCACTTGCAGCACTTGAAAATAAATAAATATTATCCATGACTAATTATAGAACTAATAGAAAAAAGAATTAAATAATAAGAAAAATAAATTAATATTGCTTTAACATACTTTCAGTCTTTTACCACAGGACAAGGTGAGATCCTGAGGTTCTGATGCCTCATTGAAATATGCCTGAAAGTGTAATTTTGAATTAGCTTTAATTAATTGATTAATTTTCATTTCAATGTAAAATAACTTTGATAATATAAAATGAAAATTGAAATGTTTTCACATACATACATATATTCTCAATACTCAAGTGAAAGTATGGCTACTAAATAACTTACTAATTGATGCGAAACATTTCATTTTGTTTTCAATTTATTCATTTAAAGCCAACTTACACCAATTTTTTAATTTGGTTAACTTAATGACAACAAAATCTTATTACGACGTTTCGGCTCATTGAGCCATTTTCAAGTCCACCATGTACCTGTCCATTATACTTCTAATGTGAATTATATGTGTCTTCTCATAATAACTATTATCACAATCGTCATGTCTATTTTTAACTTATTATGAGTTAACCCACATGTTGTCGGCTTCATTTCTATTGAGTGACTATTTAGTCACTTATTTATTCGCTTATTTAGTTAAAGGTAGACATGACGATCGTGATACTAGTTATTATGAGAAGACATATGTAATTCACATATGAAGTATAATGGACAGGTACATGATGAACTTGAAAATGGCTCGATGAGCCAAAACGTCGTAATAAGATTTTGTAATCATTAAGTTGACCAAATTAAAAATTGGTGTAAGTTGGCTTTAAATCAATAAATTGAAAACTAAATATTATGTAGGAGTGCTACCAATGGGTATTTTCTCTACATGTTGCACATATCATATTACTTGTTTTATATTTACTTGTTGTATTTATCATTTAATACAGTTATAAATTTCAACAGTATAGCTTCCAACCATTATTTCACCTTCAATTTTCTTCATTCATTATATTTAATAATCTTTTATATCAGTTCTGAATGTGAAATGGTTAATTATTTCAAATAAAAAAAATTAAAGATACTTTAGCGGTAGAAATTTTGAAAATTATACATTTAAATACTATCAGAGAACATCAATAAGAATAATAATATACTAAAAACCACTTAAATTTACACAAATATAATGAATTTAATGAGAATCATGAGCCATTTTCAAGAAAATTGTAAAAATATGTAAAATCAATGAAATTTTTTTTTTTTATTTCTTTATGACATTTACAACTGTATTACATAAATACATCAAGTAAATTTGGACATAATTGATATAATGACATGAATACACTTGCTGAGTAACTACCCAATGGTAGCACTCTAATGATATGACTACATTAGGAGATCACGGGGCCATCTTCTTTTCAGACGCCTCGGAGGGTTATCAGGAATTGAAGAGGAAGCAAGGTTAGAAACGAGAGGGTTGGGATGATTCTGAAGTTTATTATGGAAGGATAGGTATCTGGATTGGGCCAGATCTGAAACATAAGGAACATTAAGATCTTTATGGATAATTTTATTAGTGACAAAGTAAGGAGCATTGAGGATTTTACGAAGGATTTTGGATTGTAAGGATTGGATGCGAGAGGAATTCGATGGTTTAGTGGAGCCCCATAGCTCAACTGCGTTAGTCCAAATAGGTCTTATTATAGTCAAGTATATGAGTCTTTTGTAATTAATGGGAAGTTTAGAGCGTTTGTCTAGTAAGTGCTGAAGTAATCGGAAACGTCGAGCGGTTTCTTGTCGTTTCAGTCTAGTAAATGAAATAAAGTGACACTTGTGGTTAGCTGATTTTGATGAAAACGTTAATGTAACTTCCAAACAATGTACAAATCTTAAATAAGCAATTTCAGTTTCGTATGACTTTTCGTTTTTGAGCTTGATTGACCACATACACACAAACACAGACCACTTTGCGAGAATATATTATTTGGACTTAGGGGACCTCAAAACGTGTATTTTCTTTGAAAACACGAATTCAAAAATGTTCACGATTGCAATTCTTTCCCTAACTATATATTTCATATAGAGATACGTGAAAGTAAAAAGGATAGGAAGAGTTTAGAAATACAACCTTTAAGGCATCAGAATCAAAGTGTTTTAAGAAATAAATAAATACAGATGAGGTCACTTTTTATTAATTAATAGATAAACAAAGATCTAGAGTAACTTTCAACAGGAGAGATTGAGGTATGACCAATTTATTGAGTGTAATTGTGCAATTGCAAAATAAGTGTAAAATTGAACTGTGTAAGACATAAATATTAACATCTAAATTGAAGAAGAAAGTACCATTATATATTTCTTGGCCTAAGTGCATTAGTACAATTAATTAATGAATAACAATTAAAAATAATATAACTCACAAGATCTGGTGAGAAATGATGAAATTGTATGTGTTTTGTGAGTTCCTCTTTCCGTGCAAATGAGGTAGGACACTCTGAACAGGTGTGTGCTCTTCCACCGATATGAAGTTTTTCATGTCTAGTTAACTTGTCTTTCCTAAAACGCAAGAAATGATTAATATAAAACTCATGAGCTATATTATTAGATAAAATATTTTTTTGTGGGATTAGATTTTTAAAAAATCTTTAAAAATTCAATAAAACATACACTTGCAGAAAAAATACCATCATGTATGTATCATAAAATATTTTATAATTACATACAGGTTTAACTATATTAAATCTTAACCTGAGAAACGCAGTTACAAAAATTGTATGTTAAAACATCTCGCTGATGAATAAAAAAAATTATTTTTCCAATCTATCTAAACAAAAGAACAAAATCACAAAAACAAATTATAATTAAATGATATTGCAAGTCTCAGTGTGAAACCACCTATAATACATTTACTATAAACATTTTCATTTTGGAGAACTTTGTTTTTACAAAATTTCAAACAAGACTCAATTGTTAATCTTTTGAATATCACATGTTAATACATACTGATTAATTTGTTTGTTTTTTCAACTTTACTGAAAAATTGGGATTTTTTACATAAATCATTCACATAAAAAGACAATTTCCTGAAATCAGGTCAGGCCAGGGCAGGTTAAAATTTATTTTGAGGCGGACATATGGAATGAATCATTGCTTTCCCAATGTGGTTAGAATAGATTTGGTCGTATCTCTAGAAAAACCTATCAATAAGCCAAAAATGGTAAGGTAGGGCGTAAATTAAAAAAAAAAGATTTAATAGACACCATGTATTTAACAAAAAGAAATATTTTCATTAATATTGCATTATGTTATGAGAGTTGGACAATATGGACGCCATATTGAATGGGTTAATTTAACGCTTCATAGAACTAAAAATCAAATAGAACTACTCTACTACTAATTTATGAGCATGCTCATATCTTTAAACATTAACTTCAATCATTGATCTTAATACATCTTATTGAAGAAAAATTAGATGAACTTATAATTAGTATTTTAACTGATTACCTGTTGAAAGATATAGAACAAATAGAACAAGAAAACGGCTTTTCCCCAGTGTGTATAACCGAATGTCTCAGAAGATCACCTCTAGAAGCAAACATTTTATCACAACCAGGACAAGAGAATGGTCTTCTTCCGGTATGCAATCGACTGTGCTTGTTCAAGTTTGTACTTCGAGTGAATGACTTGAAGCAAACTGAACAAACGTAAGGCCGAAGACCTAAAATGAAAATATAAGCAATATAAATATATCTATAAGGTTTTCTGGATAAAACCAAGGAAACACCAGAGAACCTAAACCTCAAATATAGTATAAATATCCCTACCCTATTAATAAATATCCCTACCTATTAAACATCTTTCGGGTTTTATCAATTTGGTGGGTAATTAAACATTGATTTTTTTTTTAATTTTAGACTTTTTTATATTAAAATCCTTTTATTTCTTTAAAAAATAATCACACAAAATCTAATGATACCAGTGGAAGGGATGAATAAATTCTTACCAGCTAACATCATCAGAAATTGTTTGGCTGGAAACTTAAGGCTTACAAATATGAAGAATTGTATGAATAATAGAAATTGATAGTTTTTGGCTAGATTTACAGAGATATACCTTCTTCACTAAAAAACATCTTTAGTCAGCTTAACTTTTAACAGCTTATCTTGTTTAACAGCATCATTATTTACTCATATGTCGAATATCTTTGTGTCTATATTTTGATTTAAATGCTAAAAATTTTATAATAAAAAAAAAAATTAGGTTCTAGGTAAAGAAATCATTAAAGATTAGATGACGGTTAGCTCAGACTTTTTTCACAATTGAGGTGTGAATTCGGTTTCTGAAGTTTCCTAGTTTTTACATAGAACACTCTGTATATATACACTAAAATGCTTGGTTGATAAATAAAAAAAACATAATTACCAGAGTGAACAACAGAATGTTTTCGAAGATCTGATTTATACGAAAAAGCTTTTTGACAAACTGTGCAATGAAAAGGTTTCGTTTTATCGTGTAATAAATTGTGTTGAAGAAGTACATCCTTGCTTGGGAAGAAATCGCCACAAGTCAGGCACGTTTGAGTGTTTGGTGGAGCATGTTCCCTCCAATGGGATTTAAGTGATGCTTTGTCTTTTTCAATAACATCACAGAAGTCACAGGGAAATGGTCCTTCCTATAAAAATCTAGAAATTAGTTTTACATACTAAAAGAAAATAACAAGTAAAAAAAAATATATAAATCACCTGAGAATGTATTAAAATATGCCTATCTAACTGTTCGAAAAATTCAAAATGTTTATTACAAGTTGGGCAATTCAGTTCATTATCTTCTGAATCACTAAAACAGAAGAAGAAAAGTACTTTACATAATAAATTTTTATACAATAATCAGACTGTACTCTAGCTCAACAAGTTAAACATAAAGAGAAATTTTATGCCAATATTACTGGTATACACTACATTCAAAATTAGTTGTTTTTTTTTCATAATTTTCAAAGCAAATTCATTTATATAAATTTCTCAGGATTATATAAATTATTGAAGTTTTGAGATTTCTGGGCTAAAAACTGAACCAAGTGATTTTCACAATCTTCTCTTGATGACACCTCTGGGCTTTGACCACCACCTTTTATGCACATTATTGTCGTACATGATACACTTTTCATAGCCCATAATCATCTGTTTAAATGATTACGGACTCACTCCCCCCCCCTCCCATCTGGCTTACCACCTAGGAATGGGGACTTTTAGTATGTTTGCCTCGTTACTAGTCCAAACAATGTGACAAAGTCAAAAATTATGTACCCACTATTTCCTTCTATAATCATTCATTTACTGGACTGATATGATGAAATGACCTTCTGAATGATAAAGTGAACCTCCAATTTCCATTCAAGTGCAATATCTATGGATTGAGTAAATGCAGTAATGCAGTGAATATCGATACAGTAAATGTAGATGTGTACTTTCAGTAAATGAATGACGCTATTTTTATTTATAGAATTTTTTATGGGCTGTAATCATTCAAACACACTATAGAATGACTTAATTTAATAATGATTACAAGAGATAAGAGACTTTAAATTCACCTATTGGAATAAAATAAAATTACTTTTTCCTCAACCCAATATATAACTGCATAAACTCAACATCGTAAATGGCGCAAAGAAAGTCTACGGCAACCCATTTATTATTTGCCTAAGCAATCAGTTAGCGTTTTCTTAGGGATGTCACCATCCTCTATTCTGAACAAGTGACCAACCTTTCAAAGTCTCCTGAAAGTTCATGTTGTTTATAGTCCTGAAAGCGAGAAGTATGCATTCAGAAAGTTAATCTGAGGGTGGAGTTGAAAATTAATGTTAAGAATTCCTTTAAAAAATACACAAGAATTTACTGAGAATTCCAGGTTAATTCCTGATGGAATGGAACTTCCGACAATATTAAATTAATGCATAATAGTAACTATCATTCATGTTAAAAATACTTATTAATAAGAACTAGAGAAAAAATTAATTAAATTGCTACACATTAAAAAACGAAGAAAATCAAAAATAAACAAACTAACTGAAATTTAAAGAAATAATTTGTACTTTATTAAAAACTAAAAAGAAAAGGATATTAGAAGGATAAAAAGAAAATTAAATAAAAATCGCTCAGAAATTGTGTTAAAAAATAATTTCAGTTATTATGTGCTCACCAGTGAAATGGCTTCTACTCTAGAAATTTTTTTTTTACTGTAGAAAAAATTTCAGGTTTTGATAGTCAAATTTTAATATTGATACATCAATATATAGGTACAAAAAATATCGAGCTATAATAAATATTTTAAAAAATAAATCTATGCTTTTCCAACATCCCTAATTCAAACCAATGATTCATCAGGCCAATTTTTTTTTTTATTCTTTCAAACATTCAAATAAGCAGAAAGACAGTCTACAGTACTAATCCGTAATAAAATAAACAAAAACATGAGTAACATAAATGAATCTAACCTACATTAACAAAAATATTCCTAAAAAATTATATACCACACTAACATAATTTGATATTCAATCATTACCATTGAGGATCATGATCATCACTTCCTTCAGTTTTAACTTCATTACTTTCACATTCATCCTTTTTCATGTTATCAATATCAGAATAAAAACAGTCTGTATGTCCATTATAATGAACTCTGGATGCCAAATCAAAATTATTCGAAGATGCTATTTCTGCTTCAGTCTATAAAATAATAATAGAAATAATAATATAATAATAAAATATATAATATATATTAAATATATAGATTACATAAAAAATCTGTAATCATGACAACCCATGAAGGGTTTTTGGGTTCAGTATTTTGTAAGGAAGTGCTATTTCTTGGTCTTGAGTTATACAAGATTTGACCGTGATCACACTGAACAGCCAGTTTTTCACCTTAATTAAGGTTTCCAGCTTTATAGAGGCTGGGTATGCCTCAGGAGGGTCTCCCAACCCCACGGCCAATCCATTTTTGAGGAAATTGAATAAAAAAAATTATCTTCCATCAACCAGGATTTGAACCAAGGATCTTAAGCATTGAAAGTGAGCTCCCTACCACTGAGATACCCCACCCCCCATATACAGGGTGGTCCATAAGTAGAGAGAAATATTTATAGGAGTGATAGTAGATCTATGAATTAGGATGTATTATGATTAGAGAACGGATTTTCATGTTATTGCACATTTTATTCGCTTGCTTGTGAAAACCCCGGACTCGAATATCAATCCGTTTCAGGATCAGATAGATTAACATATTTAAATTTTATATTGCATGTTTTACCTATTTTGGCTTAAATTACACAATTTTATACATTTTGTGCCGGATTAAATGGTTTATAAATATAAATGTGTGTGTAAATATTTAATTTTTTCACTTCACTACCTTGTCCATATTAAATTTATAATTTAAGAAAGAAAAATATGAGGAAGGTAAATGATTCTGTGACTGGCAAAGATTCAAATTTAACGTTACTAAGGGGCGAAGTAAACACAAGTGCAAACAGACTATTTATGGAATAGAACTTGCCTGAAGCAATTCAATAAAAAAAAACTGAATTCCTTGTTTTGACTTGAATTCTCACTCTTTTTTAAATCCTTCAGCATCCCTTCCTGGGTGATTATTCATAGACTGTTATGAATTCACCATCAATAATATCCTATTATTGATAATAATAACGATTTGACATTCATAAAATCATATTTCTCAAATTTTGCACAAATCTTAACTAATTTTGTCACTTAATAAACAAATTGAAATTATAGAAACTATAGGAGAAAATCTCAAAAAAATCAATAATGAAATAGGAAAAATTATAGCTCAAAAATTTTACTCCGCAATAGAAACAAATACAGGTTACACTCTTATAAAAAAATATAACGACTGCATCAATGGTGAAAATGTTAATGTTGACAAAGAACCAGCAGTGATTGTTTGTTACAAAATGAGTTTTCTTACATCAGTTCATACTCCTTTTCTCAATAAAAAGACGTATTGAGTGATAGGAGAAACAATGTTTCAGAAACTAATTTCAAAATGTATAACATAGTAAATTTCAACTCGATTAAAAAATGAAGTTTTCATAATAATGTGGATAATTTATAATTATGCATGTACATATATTATTTTTAATTAAAATTAAAGATCTGAAATCAATTGGTCTGGTATATATAATATATACTTATCTTTCATATCTTTACTATTTTGAAGTTCCTCCACATTACTTCAATCCTTGTATGTGCTAGTCAATTAACCAGTTTAAGGGAAATTTAAACAAATATATTTAATTACTTGTTAATTATAGTTAATTACTGAGACCTTTCTGGAGTTGTTTTGTTAATTATCTTTAAATTTACTATTATTGTTATTGTATCCAAATTTTCTATTTATGTTAGATGTCAGTCCTTATGTTTTTTTAAATTTCTCTTTCTTAAAGATTTAGGTTAATCATAATTTATTATTGTATTAGATTATGTATTGTTGTCATTAGCTTATTGTAATATGGATTTTAATTTTTTTTTTTTTTTTTTACAAAATATTTTAATTCAGAAGCTTAACAAAAAGTTTGATAAGATTTTAATATATCAATATTATAAATTAAACAAAATATATGATTTCTACATGTTTTAGGTGTAAATTAGACAACTTTACATATTTTGAGTTTTTACTGCACAATTTTGGGCATTTTTAGTTTTTTGCTGCACATTTTTTTTATGTTTACTGCACAAAGATTCAGTCTCTAATTATGATAAACATAATTGCTTAAACACATATTTATTTCTAACAAATGTTAAAAATAATGATGTTTTGATTATTCGTCATCTAAAGTATTAATAAAAATGGTTTTTTTTTGTCGATGATCTTGCTATTCTATACAAAGCAAAAGACGTCCTCTCTATAAAAGATAAGCTCCAAGAAGCACTGAATCATATTGAAAACTGGTCGAAATCATCAGGACTCCATTATCTTCTGAAAAATCAAATGTATTCACTACAGCAGAAAACGAAATACTCCACAATCACCAGAACTCCTTTAAGGTGATGCCACCTTACCATATGTCAACATATGCAAATTCTTGAGATTATTATTTGATAAACGTCTATCCTAGGAACACCACATAAAATCACTCTAAAGATGCATGTGATAGAAAACTCCAGCTATTGAGAGTACTTAGCGGAATCAACTGGGGAGCAGACAGAACTACCATGATTAAAGGGTATTTGATATTTGATGAAAACACACAATGACAAGCTCTGATCAGTGCAAAAATAGATTATGGTAGTTTTGTCTAAGGTTCTGCCCGAAAAAAATGCTCAAGCCAAGCTCGACTCTGTGCACCACACTGGAATACGCCTTGCAACTGGAGACTTTAGAACAAGCCCAACCAAGAGCACCTGTGTCGAGTTTGGCCTAAAGCCACTGTACTTTAGAAGACAGAAACTAGCAATCAACTATATTACTAAGTTATACCCGCAAACTATACACCTCTCCTATAAATATGTTTTTCAACCTAAATTTTCAAAAAGATTTAAAGAAAAGAGGAATACCACATTACCATTGGCAGAAAGAATGTCTCTTATTATAAATAAATTAAAACAAATAAGATTAAATGAAATAGAAAAAGAAATATCTCCTTGGACCTATATCCAACCAAAATTAAATCTCCAATTCGCCAAATTCAACAAAGATAGTAAGTGGAGATTATAAAGAAAAGTTTTTTCAAAATAATCATCACATTACCTGAACATGTTCTAATATTCACCAACGGATCTAAATCAGGTACATTTACTGCATTAGCCTTTGTCATCCCAGGCACTAAATAAAAATATAAATGATATCATCTTTGGGGTGTTTACACAGCAGAGCTTAACGGCATCGCAATGAGTCTCCGATACATCATGAAAAAGCCAGTTGCAAATGTGGTAGTGGTATTGGATTCTCTAAGTACTCTAAAAGGCATGAATTAACTTGTATCCAGACCATCCAGGGGTACACTGCATTCTAAATCTAATAAAAATGCTTCATAGAGTTGGAACAATGGCAAATTTTATCTGGTCCCTTGGCCATACAGGCGTTAAAGCAAACGAAATGGCTGATAGAGCAGCAAAAGAAGCTATAACCTTCCAGGCCGCAGTAAAGCTTTTTTGACATCATCTGAACTTGCATGACCTCTAAGAAAAGCCATATCCCAAGAATGGCAAAGACAGTGGGACAACAGCACACCCAGCCAATTAAAGACAACAAAGAAAGAGGTGCAACCAGCTCCAAACGCAGCAGTCGTAGAGAAGAAGTATTCCTCAGGCGGTTGAGGATCAGACATACTAGGCTGACATACCTCCACCTCATAACAAAAGATGTTATCCCCAGATGTCAAAAGTGTGACCAGTCATTAACTATAAAACATGTTTTGGAAAAGTGCTCTTTTCACACCACAAGGTTAAAAGATCTCGGAATATCCCAGAATATATCAGTATCCCTGGGAAATCAAGAAGAAATTATTACCAAAGTTATGAAGTTCTTTGACAATGAAAGACTTAAAAAACATATATGACAAGTTTATAACTAATGATCCTTTGCAGATTTATTACTTTTTTATTTTATTTTAAAAGTTCATTTATTTATTAATTTCAATTCATTTATTGCTTTTTTTTAATGTTTATTTATTTATCTATTTTATCTTATTATCTATAAGTATCTATTATTATCTTTATTTATATATTTTTTTCTATTATTTTTTTTTATTTTTATCCCTTTTTTTTGTATCAAAAACCTAAACAGTATGAAAGTAGTATAAATTAGTTGATCAGGTGCTGATGACCTGGATTTTTTGTGCATAAACATCGAAAAATACAAACAAACAAAATGTGTTTTTTACTAAAATCTCTATTATAGGAATTTATCCTTATTCATAAGTGACAAACTAAATGTTCCTGATCCTAGTATTTACATATCCATCAAATTATTCAGGCAATCAGCAGGTTTCTTTATTTTAAATGCAGATTTTAGGACTAGAAAGATTTATTTCGTTACTTATGAATACGGATCAATTCCTGTAATGGAGATCTTAGTAAAAACACATTTTTAATACCACTTTAGATGAAGAATAATTAAATCATAATTTTTTTAAGATATAAAAAATGTATTTAATCAATTTTTTTTAGAATAACATAGATGTACTACTGAAGTATCATTTTTCTGGCACAAAACAATGAGTAAAAAATCATAAAATTATTGAATAATACAAATATAAAATATATTAAAAGCAAGGACATATAAATAAATAAAAATAATGAATGATAATTAAATTAAGTCTGTATTATGTTTATTAATGTGAGTATATTTGGTTGGCATTACTCAATAGTCTAGGCATGCTGTCATGCTTCTTTCTAACAGCTCCAGAAGCATTAAGATGGTTCGTAACTTATGTTCATCATATTGGAGGAGAGTTTTCATGATAACAGTAATGTTGCTACATTTCATTTCTTTTTTTTTTCCATTAAGTCCAACAAAAATTAAATGAAAATTTTTATTTAAATTGTATACCAAATATACCTAAATTCAATTAACATTAAATAAAATAAATTATGAGAAAAAATTTAATCTCAACTAAATACCCAAATCCAAACATTGAAAATCATTTTGTCTTTTTTAATTAAAGTGCTGATTAACTAATGATAAAACCTAATGATAAAACATTATCTGTTAGGATTTCATAACAAACATATGATATTTATAATTGAAATGATCGCACTAATAATAATTGATAAATTTAAAATCAGAAATACACTATCAATCCTTAAACAGTATTTTATCATATTTTTTCTATCATGAGGCCAATATTTTCTATTCAAAATATTAAAAGAAACCACCACTCTGGAGAGAAGATGGGCATTAAATGTAGATAATGTAATCATTAAATTTTACCATAAAATGTTAATACATTTTATAATATAGACATAATCTAACATCATCATTCAACTTTAAATACAAAAAAAAATATCATATCATTAATTAAATATGGTCAAATCTCCACCATCATATGTATTGGTGTCCTAATAATTTGTATTTAAAATTATTTCAAACTAGGATGCTAAGTGAGCAGTTTCAACAAAATACTCATCCATTACCTTAAACTATTACCTTTCCATTACCGTTGGCAGTATGGAATGGTAGACGCTAGCATGGGCAGTAATAATAATAAAAGGCTTAGCGAACCCAAAGGTTTGATGCCGACACCACCAATCGCTTATTACACACATCCCTCCACCATTGCCGTCTAAATCTAATCCCTTCAGATCGGCTTTAATGCAATCCACCCACCTTCACTTCGGTCTACCCCTCGGACGTTTACCATTTGTACAGCAAATATTATTAACCTTTTAGGAATTCTGTCGTTACTAAGCCCAACAATTTTACAAGTCCATTTGGTTCAGCGGAATGAAATCACCTCAATTATATTACCAAGAAGCAGTTCATACAATTCGGCATTGTGTAACCGTCTAAACTCTCCACTTAATTCATCCTTCTTCGGTCCGAATATTCTACGCAATACTTTATTTTCAAAAACCTTAAGACGTTGCTCATCTCTTAATGTAAGCGGCCACGTTTCGAATCCATAAAGAATTGAAGGTAAGATAATGGTTTTATAGATTCTAATTTTTAAGTTCTGGGACAAGAGCTAAGTAATTATGTCACAGAAAAATAACAATCATTCCCGCCTTCAGTCTAACCTTAATCTCTTCTTCAATTTTGTTTTTTCTAGTTACCATAGACTCTAGATACCTAAACTTCCCTACCTGTTCAAACATATTACCATCTATATTGATATCACCAGCATGGGCAGTACCAGAGAAATAATACCTTTAGTGTTAGTGAAGTTAAATACAATTCTGAGATAACTAAATTCACAAAAGGTGTACATTACATCATGCATTTGTTGGAATAAATAGAAAATGTAGCATTTCAGTACAGGTATGGATGTTAATAGTAAGTGAGATATTATCATCACAGTATAGGACTTCAATGGAAGTTTTGGGCCAACAAGAGGAAATATATATATATATATATATATATATATATATATATATATATATATATATTGATATATATATCAATTAACTGTCCTTATACTTCTTGACTTCTCTAAAGCCTTCGATTCCGTTAACCATCCCATCCTTTTCAACAAACTAAAATCACTTTCCTTCTCCAATAGCTCCATCTCTTGGTTCCAATCTTTTCTCTCCCAACACACCCAAGCAGTCTCCATTCCTAATCAACCACTATCTGCCTGCCTGCCTTTATCCTCTGGAGTTGCCCAAGGATCTAGCATATCTCCTCTCCTTTTTAATTCCTATATTAATGACCTCCATGACTCAATTCTCCATTGTTCCCACCACCTTTATGCAGACGATTCTCAAATATACCTATCGTTTTCTCCCCCTGAGCTATTGGTAGCATTTACTAAGATCCAAGCAGACCTAGATCGAATCTGTGCCTGGGCAAACTTAAACGGATTAAGGTTAAATGCTTCAAAAACTCAGGCCATTGTCATTGGTTCCAAGCCCCTCCTTAGATCCTATACCGACTTTCCCATACTAAACCTTGGTGACCAGCCAATCTCCTTCTATTCCTCTGTAAAAAATTTAGGACTATTTATTGATCAAACCCTCTCCTGGAGTCACCATATTTCTCACATCTCCCGACGGACAGTTTCTACTCTCAAACTATTCCATCGCTTCCACCATCTCCTACCTCAACATACGCGCAGACTCCTCGTTTCCTCTCTCTCATCTTCCCCCACTTTGACTACAGTTGTGTGGTGTATGATGGACTCTCGGTGGAGCTCCGTGACAGACTGAAAAGATTAATGAACAGTTGCGTGAGATTTGTAATTGGTGCCCCGAGATACTACCATGTCTCTCACCACTACACTGAGTTAGAAAGGCTCTTCCCCTCCATTCGAAGAAATATTTCCTAGGAACATTCCTCTATCATATCATCAACAATCATCGTCCTTCCTACGCCTACAACCTTCTCCAATTCAAGTCCTCAGTCCACTCCCTCTCCACAAGATCTCGACCTTCCGACCTTTATATTCCTTCTCACAAATCTGCCTCGTTCCAAAACTCCTTTATTGCTCGTTCTGTTAGTTTCTGGAATTCCCTTCCTATCAAAATTCGACATTCTTCATCCTTATCTACATTCAAAACCCTCCTATTCCAATTCCTGTCCCAAAAACTAGGTCAGATACCAGCTAACCTTCTATGTAAAATTACATATTATTTATAATAACATATTCATATATAGCTCATAACCTAAATACTTATTATAGATTCGACTTTCTTTTTTCTTTTTTTCAACAGAAACACAGATTTTACTGTTAAAAAGAATTTACATTTATTTTTTCTGTATTTTTATTTTTTCTAAAAGGGTTTATTTATATTTTAACATTGTACATAGTTTTAAGTATCTTTGTATGGTTTCAAGAGTTTTGTATATAGATTTTTTTATTTTATTTTGTATATAGTATGTATAACTAATATTTTTTTTTTTTTACTGATTTATCTTTATCTTAACTTTTTATGTTTGTTTTTATCTGGCCAGATATAAAATTTTAATTTCTGTACTTTTTTGTTATTCTGAAGGGACTTCGTCCCAGAGTAAAATTATTTTTCTATTCTATTCTATTCTATATATATATATATATTAAATCATCTGGTTTTTAAAATGAAGATATGAAATGCCTCTGAAAAAATATCAATCACAATGAATTCTCAGCTAATGTTATGTTTACAAATGATTATAACAAATGAAATACCTGCAGTGCCAAATACTGACGGAGCAGGGCATCAGATTGTTCACACAGTACTTTAAATTCATTTGCTTTTTCTATATGATACAGGCACCGATGACATATTAATGAAGGCAGTCCATCACCTTCACTCATCTACGATAAAACAATAATATCATAATAATATAAATACATAAAACAGGAAAAAATAAACAAATTACATTAGAATAAGCGCTCCAGTGACTGACATAGCTAAGGAAATTTTTGTCCTTTTTTTGCTTATGTCGCCATAATTATTATTGTTATTAATTTCTCTGTCAGACATTTAGAATCTCTAGGGTCTTCATTTTCTATAGAACACATTAAAATTGAAAAAATATTCAGTTATGCATATATAATCTCCATTTAAAAAAAAAGACCTTTTTGCACTAGTGATGTACACCCCAAAATTCAATTGTTCTGGGAACTTTGTTCATACAGTTATCAATAGAGGGCTTTGTTCTTCAACCTAGAAAAAACTGAAACCTTTAAATCAACAAGAAAATTTGTTATTTACATTTAAAGTCCAACCTGTCCATCATTGGTGAGTTCACCCTAATTGGAGTAGTATAATCACATTTAGTAAGTATAAAACTATTGAAAAATTTTGATTTTTAAATAGTTTTATATTACAAAAATACAGCATGTAAATTAATCAAATGATCAAAATTATTTTTGATTTTAGGCGAATAAGAATAATATTAGATTGATAGATAGATAGATAGGTATGTAGAAAATAAACTTATAGATAAAATGTTAGATATCATACAATACACAATGTCCATTAAGAATAATAACTATGAACAAAAAACAAATACCATATCTAGCCAAACACTATATTAATAAAAATTATATAATATCTTCAGTGACAATAAATAAACAATAGAAAGTAAAAACATTTTGAGAAAAAACATAATTGAAATGAAAAAGAAAATCATAGATTAGAAAAATAAAAACAAAACATTATAAACATTATGAGTTGATTTTTAAAATTAAAACTTAAACAATTTTGAAGACCATTCATTTCAACCAAAATTTGATTCATAAAATTTATTTCATGATTGTAGAGCATCTGTTTGGGAGTGAGAAGGAATTGGAAAAGAAGATATTTGGATGAGGAAATGGAAGATATGGCAGATATCAGATGGCAGGAATTCCAGAAGGCCGTGGAGCAGGTAAGAAAGGGATGTTGAAATGTTTTAGTTCTATGGGAAGGAATATATAGGCCAAAAACACTAGATCTTGTTTTCTGGGAGTAGACCACAGGTTTGAACAGTAGGAGACTGTAGAAGTAGAAACGGTGCCGGGAGTTGATCATTTGGAATAGGTAAGATCTAATTAAAGTTGGCAGAAAGAAGAGAAGATCCAGTTTAACTAGTCGTAAAGGTGAGACACATGAGACTGCCTCGAAGTACCGAAGACAAATCTTATATAACATTATAGATAATATGTAAAGGAATGATGATTATAATCCCCTTGAAAGGACCTTTGATGCAAGTCCAAGATATGAAATATAGAAAATTGCAGGAAATTTCAAGTCGAAGATAGGAAAAGAACATATCTACACTGTAACAATAGTAATTAGCATCATAAAGCTAGTAAAAATAATGGAGCTCGGCTTGTAAACTTTGCAGTATCCAGAGATCTCATTGTAGGTCGTACTCTATTCCCCACAGTGATGACCAATATAATACAATGGGGATATGAAGGTACGTGGATCACTCCTGAGAGTTGGTTTTAAATCAAATCGATCACATATTGGTATGAAGGATGGCGATATAAATAGAATCTACTCAATATAGGGACATTCTGAAGAGTTAATGTTGATTCTGACTACTACCTTTCAATAGCACATCTTATTGCCAAGAAATCCACGTCCAAACTGGAAATCAGAAGTAGTAAAGTATAAAAAGTTAATTTCCAGAAGCTTCAAGAGCCAATAGTAATGAACCTCAAAGCTCAACAAGGCATTACAATTAACACATCATGAACGAGGATCACTGGAAGATGAGTGGCAGGCCTGTTTCAAAGTCTTGAATGAAACAGCTGATGCCAAAGTGAAGTCCTAAATATCACACTTCTTCAGATATGGAAATACCAACGTTGTTATAGTATACCAGTGGGCATGTTCCATGGTTTAGTGAAAAAATAATGAATGCACTTTTGGATTCATTAATTTTTACCTTCCACCTAGTAGCCCAATTAAAAATATCATCCAGATGGTTTTGTATGACAAAGGATGCAGATACAGAGTTTTAGACAGTTGTAAGTAGTGCAGTATCTTCACCAAATATTTCCAATAAACTTTGGTATGTATAATGTACCACAGCAAAATGTGGTAAAGTAATGGTCCAAGTACATTCGCTTGAAGAACTCCTCTCCTAACACATTTCATCATTATAAACTATCCACTGATAGTTTAAAGTTAAAGTTCCCTACTTTTATTTAAAAGTGTCTGTCAAGTAAGAAAGTAATATTAAATAGTAAGTCGAGGGAAGCAAACTTTTAGGCTTGGAAAATTCCTTCATGCCATAGCATATCAAAAGCTTGACTAATGTAACGGAGAATGAAAGGACAATATTTTTTTTACTCTAAAGCACTGGAAATGTTATCTACTAATTGATGACATTGTTATATGGTTGAATGATGCTTTATGAAGCCGAACAGATGATTTGAAGTAGCAAGAAATGAAAGAAGGGGCAGCAAAATTAAGCTTTATGGAAAAAATCGTAGTTGTGGATCTGTAATCTTAGGTTTTATAGGAAATAATTAGAAAAATAAGGTTATTTATTATGCTAACATGTCAAATATTTTGGTTACGCATTAAATGTACTTGGTTATTTAGAAATATATATATTACAACACCACCCAACCTAGTTTTAGAAAAAATGACTTAAGTAAGTTGACATCCATTTGTTTTTCACCCATAAAAATCAATCTAATTTTGCATACCTTATTAGACAATTTCAAAGCAGCCTATTCCATGAATAGAAACTGTCTTTGGAAAATAAAGACTGAACTGGGAGTTCCCATCAAGTTATTGAGATTGACGAAGGCGTGTGCAAATTATCTTAAAAATCGAATCCTAATACAATGAAAAATATCTGAATCCTTCAAAGTTTGAAATGTTGGCAGCTGGGAGATGGATTATCGTCAATGCTCTTCAACTAAGAACTGGAGAGAGTGATAAGAGCATGACATGAAAACGAAGGGGTGCACATCAAATTGAACCATTATATCCTTGGAAATGCAGATAATACAGCTGACCTTGGAAGCAATCACATAGAGAGATTCGCTAAGACTCTGATAAGAGAAGCAGAACAAATCGGCTTGAAGACATGATGAGGATAAAACAAAATATATGATACTAAGCTGACAATTTTACTTCAACAGCATTTGAATAAAAGGGAAGTGGTTCCCAAGAATAGAGAAATGTAAATACCTCCAACTCCACAATAACCTCAATGAATGGCCAACAGTCAGAATCCGTATTCTCTGAGAATGTTTACATATTTAAATAAAATTATACAATTTAAAAATAACCTGAACATTTATTTATAATGTTTAATTACTAACAATAGAAAGATTTCAAACTTTAAAAAAAATGAATACTTTAATTAACAAAATATATGAGTTTCTAACTATATACTTTTTGAAAAAGAGTATTGAAACAAGTCGTTTTGAAGCAGGATTACTATCAACATTATAAAAACTAAGTTAATGCCTAATACGGTAAAATAGTAAAAGATTTATTTTTTTTAAATATATTATTTACAGTTATCCATAAGATATGATAGCATTCAAGCACATTTAATAGTACACTTATATTTGCAGGTAAAGGAACCTTTTTATAACAACATTGTCAATATAAATGTGTCAGATAAAACGATTAAATGTAACTTCGAAAAAAAAAATTAAAAATAGCTTGGAATAAAACTGGCGCAAATAAAAGATGAAAAATCCTTCATTTTTCAGTTGTGATGGCTTTCTTCTAAACTAACAATGAATAAATATATATATCTACAAATGTACAATTACATTATAAGTAAAATTTTAAGTTGTGTGACTCTTCTTCCAAGGTAGCTATATATAGAGAAACTATTAATAATAAAACTAGACTTTTTACTTGAGTTACAGAATTCTAAGTTGAATTAACTTGAATTTCATTGTTATAAAGTAACAAGAACAAATAACAAATTATTTCTATTATTTTGTATATTTTAGTGTACCCCACTATCATAATTATTAGTTGAAACAGATTAAGAACTAGTGCTATAATATTAAAATTAATAGACATAAAGATCACGAGTTAGAGAGTACACACTTCCACTAGTATAGTCTATCCCATCTCTTTCATAATTTTGAGTCAAAACTTTAACAAGAAATAGTACCTCCTTAGTCACAAATTATTAGAATTAGTACACATAAGGATTGTGAGTAAAGATGTAAACACTTCCACCAGTTCAGAGAAGTTTCTCTCAGGTTTTTTATAATTTAGATATGAAGTGTTGATTAAATATCAACTAATAAATCAAGATAAATGAAGGATAAGGATTAAAAATATAAACTTTATTGAATTTGTAATTTATTACTGACATGTAAACAAAATTAAAGCTTAAAATTAAATAAACTTAGATATACTTGAGGAATGACCAGGCTTTTGATTTCAAAACAAATAAAATCATTGTATTTAAAAATAACCTAAACTTTGTGTGTTTTCGCTAAATTACATTAAAAACATTCTGATAACAAGAAAAAAAATCAATAACTCCAATTCCATATCATGTTAAGGATAAAAATAAATGGAAGAGGTTTCAAACAAACAAATATTATGTAATTTACGAGCAGGTTAACCTAAACACAATGGCACTTAGGTCCCGACCTTGCCACTGTTTACTAGTCTATTATGGGCATGTGTGTGTGTGTGCCTCTGAGGCTATCCTAACCTGAAAATATCATTAAAGACTTACCTTAACATTGGCGAAGTTCATTATCTTAGTCGAAAGTGGTATCGTTGTATCAACGCCTGTAGAACTGTAAATATAAGACATCACACCGCGAGAAGTCCTGCACAACCTACAAATTTCGTCGAGATTAACATCTTCAGGGCCTTGAAGGAACTGTTGGTGGAACTGGAAGATCGCATCCATCCTTTTCTTGAACAACAGTAAAAGGAAGGATATTTTTTTAAAACAGTCCGAGGAATAATAAAATCAATAGGACACGAGGCGAGAGGCTGAGGCGCCGCCCTAGTGGTTTGGGGCCCAGGGCCCCCTCCCCCTGGGGCTCCATCTGCCACCGCCACTTTTTAAATAACTTTACGCCCGGTCGACTCAAGGAGGAATAAACAGCCCAATATTTATTTAATCAGTTTTTTAACGTCCCTTACGGTCCACATCAAGAAAAAAAAAGTCAATTTTAATCGGTTTTTTATCTCCGTGTTCATCAACAGTTTAAACTGATCTATTATAAGTTTAAACTTTTCAAAAAAAAAAAAAAAAATTAATACCAGACGATTTAGGTGATAAAATCGGACACCTATTGATATTAATTGTATTTCTAATAAACCTGTAAGATAGGAGTTATTAATGTAGATTTCTTCACATCCGGAAGAAAGTTGACTAAGCAATAACAAAATTCCTAATATTACCTATTTCCATTAAAAAATATTTATTCAAAAGATGCTAATACTCTGTAGGTATGAGATATGAAGTAAGTTTCCGTGTCCGTAACGAAAAAAAATCGACCCCAAACAAGAATTACTGGATAACACCTTGGTATTATCAAAATCTTTCATATTTTTAAATACAAATTAGAAATAAATAAATAATTTACGATTGTTGCATTCTAAAATTTACGTAGTAATTATCTATTTGATATATACACTAGTAATTTACTACATCAGACATTCAAAGATTGACAGAACAGCAGAACCCAGGCTTTCACAAGTTATACTTTTATATAACAAATTAAATATATGTTGCTTAAATGTGACCAGAAGCCGATATGATGAAATTCATTTTTTTTTTTCCCACTCTCCAACGATTTTATTATACAAATATAGAATACACCTATACATAATATAAACAATATACATTTTTTTAAAATATATTATAAATAGTAAAATTTATTTTCTCAAATTATAACCGGAATGGTTACAAAGTGACTCCATGGTGGATAGGCAGTTCTTACTTCTTCAAGTTTTATGCTGCGTTCAGACAATTCCAGAGGTGCTCAGAGGGGTGGTTTGATGGCGCAAATTGAGTCATCAAAATGTTTAAGGGGGCACATTTTGATGGGGTTTTGAATTATTGAGGGGGCACATTTCGACGAAATTATGAATTTTTGAAATGAAAAGTTTCAAACCAGTGGACAATGGGAAAACATCGAACAGACCGCAGCACAATGGAACGAAACGCTGAAAACGGAGACAAAATACCAGTTTTCAAGCATTTTATTTTCTAGAAAAGTTTTATATTTTCTTGAAACCACATAACTGGTGACATCGAATGTACAAGGAATGATTATTTTAAAAATGTTTCCCATGATGAAATTTAATTTCAAAGTTGTTGTAATTGAGAGAGTAAATTTGAATAAAATGTATATTAAATCATAGCTGAAAAGAAAAGTCAGTGTCCAAGAAAATAACAATACAGAATATTTATTGCGACCCCTATATGTACTTTGTTTGCATTATCACTATTACTATGTCACAGTAAAAGGATATTTAAAAAATCGTACTTTTAGAGTTATTTTTACATTTTTTTTTTTTACATAGTTGATTGATATATATAATTTTGTAGCCAGAAGCCACCATCCACTGCAGTATCATATTGTCACTGGGATGTGGTAATAAACATCCCGTTCAGCCGCGATCACCTGTGACCGTAATGTTTACACTTTTTTTTTTTCCTCATTTAATTGGTAAGAAAACTTTGATATGAACATTTCATTATTTAATTACAGTCATTAATCGATTTGAAAACTATTAGAAATCTATTTATATTTTCTTCGTGTGTAAATTGAGTTTCATTGGTTCAATCAGCAGGGTCTTTTCTTTCTAAAATTCTATTGTTTTTACTCAAGTATGAACAGTTGTATGAGAAATTGAACTTGAATTGAAACAATTCTTAAATATTATTTTTATTAACTGAACTATGATAAGGTGCATATTAAAATAAGACTAAATTATTTAGAGGAAACGTACTTATCGTAGAAACTAAATTTTGAAAGTGTGATGTGGTTGATAGCTGAAATGTTTAGTATTAATAATTTAAAATCATTGAGTTACTGCATTATTCATGTCCTTCACTATTAACATTTTGTGAAACAGCCAATAAAGTATTTATTATTGCGCTGTTTTATTGTTGAATGTAGTAAAATAATTTAAAGCAGTGGTGTACCCAGACTTTTTTTACTAACTGTAAGCATATATTCCTTTACAATTATATATGTATATATTTCGTCAGTACAATATATGTCTAACATAAAATATTATAATATATGTATTTATATTATGTTGTTACAGTTTATATTTATATTGGCTTGTTACAATTTATATTTATGTTCGTTTGCAATAATATATGTATATATTTTATCATCATATCATATCATCGCTACAATGTATATCCATATTTGGTTATTACTTTATATTTCTCGTTATTTGCAATGAATGTAAATATTTTATCGTTAGAATTTATATTTATATTTCTCGTTATTTATAATATATGTATATGTTATATCGTTTTATTATGTAATACAAAATATGATTAAGGATTATGACTCAATAAGGATTAAGAATAATTTATATGGTTATATCAGTGGTTAAGGCTACGCCGGACAGGTGGTTAAGGTAAGCATAGTCTAGGGTCCAAAGTCCTATTAGCCCTGGAGCCAGGGATCAAAAATTGAGCTGATCGCAGGCGAAGGTTTGATTATAAATTACGAAAGTGTATGTTATCCTGAGTAAAAAAAACCTTTTCTGCCGTTCCAGAGCCACTGTTTTCAAAAATGGCGGTTGATTTGAAGAATATGAGGACAATAATTTGAGGATCGAAATGGGAAATCCATTGCGAAAAATGTGAGAAAAGTTTTTATTTCTTAACTTGTATATATAGGTTTATACTTGTAAAAAACAAAATTGCTAACGCAGGCCACCAAGAGAAAACTTTTTACAGCCAAAAGAGTCAGATTGTTTCGATATTTTATTGTTTTTTCACCTATAACTCCTAAAAGATACATCAAAGCGAAAAATGTACCCCTTAATAAATTAAATAATGTTAAATTTTGCGTCAAACGAGTACATAAACTTTATAATTTGGTTACGCGCTAAGGTATAAAACCACGGTCAACTAACGCTGATTTTTACCAAGTTCGTCAAAAACTGAGACTTATAAAATAATTATTATAAATGGCCCTGTAACATGGAAATGAGTTTCCTTTGAGGAAAACCCCACAGAGCCAAAATTGTAGAACATCAAATTTTGCGTAAATTGAGTACCAACTAATTAAATGTAGGTCACTGCGAACAAAATCGGTAATCTCTCGATGGCTAGAAATTGGTAATGAAGGTAAACGTGATTTTTAATATTTCAACAGTACGGGTGTCTATTCTATTGAGTTATTTTTGTTTCGAGTCTGTTACATGCAATATAAGCCTCTTTTCCACCTCTCAACATCGAAACGATGTGTCGAAAGATACCGAATTTTAAGAAGAATGACGAATCCCGATTCGAGATATATAATTGGCTTACAATAAAAATGTTAGCACTCAATTTACGCAAAATTTGATACTCTACAACTTTGATGCTGTGGGTTTTTCCTCTAAGGGAACTCATTTCCATGTTACAGGGCCATTTATAGTAATTTGTCTCAGTTTTTGACAAATTTGGTAAATATCAGCGTTGGTTGAACGAGGTTTTAGACCTTACCGCGTAACCAAATTTATGTACTCGTTTGACGCAAATTTTAACGTTCTTTAATTTATTAATGTGTACATTTTTCGCTTTGATGCATCGTTTAGGAGTTATAGATGAAAAAACAAAACAATATCGAAAAAATCTGACCTTTTTGGCTTTAAGAAGTTTTCCACCAAGTTCAGTTGGCCTGCGTTAGCAATTTTGTTTTTTACATGTCAAACCCATACATACATACAGGTTAAAAAAATAGAAACTTTTCTCACATTTTTCGCAATTAATTTCCCATTTCGATCCTCAAATTATTAGCCTAATATTCTTTAAATCAGCGGGTTGGGAACGGCAGACAAGGTTCTTTTTACTCAGAATAACATACATTTTTGTAATTTACAATCAAACCTTCGCCTCCGATCAGGTCGATTTTTGGACAATGGCTCCAGGGCTATATTCTCCTCCTCAAATTGAGGAAGCAAAACCGCTATCCCTTTCTTAAAAAGGAATTGTGCGTTACCATATTTCCATGATTTCCCAGGTCTTCAGAATCGTGGAAATGTATTTATTTATCCCGTTTCGATCTCTTCAAATTTCTCAACAATACCAAAAGATATAGATTACTTGATATTTATGAATTTTTGTTTAGTGGACATGTTTCCAGAAAGTTCAACTAGAAAAATCTCTTGATGTAAAACATTAACTTTATTCTTTGTGGAGACCATCATATTACCTCCATTGAAGCTTCCTACATAAAGGAAATCAAATAAACACACACACACACACACATTGATGATTAACATTGACACTAATAGTAAAAAAAGAAAGGTAAAAGGCATTTGACAAAGTAGTTATTTCATTGATAACATATAAAAGGATTGGCGTACATTTCATCATCTCATTATTTACCATTATTTATCAAGTATCCATTTTCAAAGTATGAAAAAAATGAACATAGACAAAGCATTATTTTCAAGTATCTGATCATAAATACCTAGTTGTATTTTTAAAAATCTTCTACTCCATTTTCAATTTATTTAAGAAAGCATGTAAGCCAATATTTTCTCTTTTATAATTAAAATAAATAAATTTTCTATCTTATAATTAAACTTAATATCTAAAAAAAAAAAAAGATCATACTTCATTTTATATACCACCCATGAAAATATTTTCATATTAGGGACAAGATTAAAAAATCGTTAATAAACGTCTTAAATAGACAGTGAGCACAAGTATACACAACTATAATGTTACCAATATAAAATCATCCTGTAATCTATAAGCTTATTTATACGAGTATATTAATTGGCAAGCACGTTTATATTAAAAGGATATAGTATATATTAATAATGTCATATAGAGTTG